TGCTCCCTATTTTTCATGAAGAATCAAGGCAGTAGGATGAGTTTTCTCAGTGCAGAATAAAGACTTCTTAGAAGAAACAATTTTGCTGTTCCTGTTACATCAACCTGCAAATTGATGTTCCTAAATTTTTGCTTAAACACTAAGTATAAATTTTATTTAAGGAGCTAATTACCTTTGTAAAGATATTCTTTTAAGAAGGTTGGGGTTTGCTTTGCTTGGCTTCTGTTGATGTTTTCACATACGTATTGTTGAACAAACCAACTTTTTCAAATGTTGAAGGACACAGACCACTCTTCTGTCATGCTCTTCATCACTGTGGGTGTGATACTCCATCCAGTTGTTGCACTTGAATATTCTGTAACTCTGACACCTTGAGAGATTCACTGCTACTATCTTGCCTCACTTTTACTCATGTTACAGTATGTATTTCCTATTAAATCCATTATGTTTTCTTGGCAATTTGTTCTTTGTTTCCTTATGGGATTTAGACAAGGATAGGTGGTGAGTGTCTATTTTGCCACAAAGTTCTAGAACTATCTGTCACAGCAGCAAATATTTGTAAGCTAAAGGGTAATTCATTAGCACAGCCTTATGAAACTGTTACAGCAGCTGAGACCTGTGCCATGACTGTATTTTACCACATAACAAAGGCTAAAAGCACATTCACCTGGAGGAGCAAGTTATTGTAAGCCTCTAGTCCACTCTTCTGTATTTTAACTTCCTTTCTTGTACTTCTTTCTGAAATGGTGTATCCAACACTGACACTGTGATGGTGAGTTCATTGATTTAAGGCACAGAAATGGATTGCATTTCTGTAGCTAAGATGCTTAAGACTTCCTGGCAATCTTCCCACTTGTACCCCTCCAGTGAGGACTATGAAGAAAAAGAAAGGGTTTTTTTTTCTGATTGAGAAACTGCATTTGTGTGTTCAGGACACAAAAATAACCTGATATGCATTGAGCTCTTGCAGTGTAGTAAATGTTTGCTGTAAAATGTGTAAAGGTTAACCTTTGTATCAGCAATTCTTGTCACTCATAACAACATTCTGCCTTTTCATTCTAGGATGGGTTAACCTGTTACAAGGGTTGAAAGGTCTGTGCCTTCTATTATCTCTTACTAAAACAAACTTAAGCCGCTCAAAGTTACAGAGCATTTGCAGCACTGTAAACTGCACAAATTTCCACCCATTGCTTCACTGCATGAAGTGTAGTCAGATTACTAGTGATGAAATATTGTAGTGATGAATTCCCAAGCTTATGAATGTTTTGAGACTTTTTTAGTCTTCTCTTGGGCTGGTCCTGAGAGCGTGTACAGGTTTGTCTGTATTGTTGGTTTGTAGATGCTAATGAGGAAAACCAGGCTTTTGTTCTCTCCTTTTTGTTTGAGTCGTTACACTCCCATATAGTGCATAGAATGCAAATAAAGAAATGTTGATTTGACATAATGTAAACAGCCTTTTCAGCCTAAGCATTCATAATAAACTTTTATAGTGTAATAACATGCTAAATCACTACCAGTCTGATGTATTGTGCAAAACAAAAAAGGTGTAAACATTTTATTAATAAAAAGCTTTGTTTATAAATATGCTGGCTTATTTATAAATGCTTCCAAAATTGTCCACATCTTAAAAAAACAGTCTCTATAGCAATATAATTATAGAAGAGGAATGTAAGCAATAGCTTACATGTACAAATGACTGGAATAGCTGTTTTGCAGGAGTCCTGACTACTGGTGTTCAGAAACTGGAGCTTTTCCCTGGTCTGTGTACACACAGACAAAGGCAGAAGATCCTGTGCAAAGAAGGGAGGGGGGCAAACAGCAGAGGGAATGCAGCTTTTGTGTAACACTTCCTTTCTTTGCAGCACCATGCCTGAGAAACTGCAGGCCACACACAGGCTTGTCAAGCAGGGCAAGGCCTGACAAATTCTGTCAGGGCCAAGTTATTTAATCCATTGCTTTTACCTTAGACTGCATGAAGTGCACAGTTCTCAACTGCTTAGGCCAGGTTTCTGTCAATCAAAACTGTAAAGTGCTTTTAATATCGTGGGCCTGTTGTGCTGGGAAGGGATCTTCTCTTGTTTGTTAATACAGCCAACTGGTTGGTGCCTTGCTTTTTTTAAACCACTGCTCTGGTGCTTATGTAGTCCTCAGAAATATGGATTTGGCTGCAGTTAACTCACTTGTCTTACATGATGCTTAAAAGATGTGGTTTGGTTGCTTTAATCTGGGATGCACATCTAACCTGTTGAGTTAATAGCAGCCTTCAAAAGCTAAATAAACATAAAGTCCTGTTTCTGAACTGCTGTTTCACATGAAAAGGTTGGGTACAAGTTTTTACTAAACAAATGGCTGCAGTTCCTATGCAGGAAACACATACCATGTCATCTTTTGTTTAACAGAGACCTGGAATAATTTCAATTTCTTGTCACCTGCAATTTTGAAGTCATGCTCTTAGATGTGAACAAACTGCTTTTGAATAGTGTCACATGGGTTTGTCTAAGATAGCATGAATGTGCATCAGGGAGAGCATAAGAAGGGTAGACACGGGGAATATGCTGGAATAGAGAGCAAAAGACATTTGTATGTGTTTGCATAGGGAATCTGAGAACCAAATGCAAACCACTTGGTTTTCACACACACAATGAGAATGTTTCACTTGGATCAAGTCTTTCATAGCTTCTAAGGTAAAAGTTTTGCAAAGTATAATTGTTTCAGTACAAAGCTTTAAAATTGTTTCAGTACAAAGCTTTCAGAAATGAACTTGTTCTTTAAAATTGTTTCAGTACAAAGCTTTCAGCTGCTGTCCAGCATTTCCTTGCAGTGTTCATCCCAATTTTCTCCTGTTAATCAGAAACCCCTGTGGGCAAGAAGTTGCCTTTTAGTCTTGTGGCTGCATTGTCCCCAGTGAGAGCTGTCTGTGGAACAGGGGTGGGCTATTGCAGGTGGTCTCCATGCACACCCATTTCAGTGAATCTGACCTGCACAACGTTAAATGTACACACATTATTTACATGCAACAAAAACCTGACAACCTACATTCATTAGACTTCATACATTTCCAACTTAAGCAACGCTGTGCTTTATAAAACCCTCAGCCTGGATGAAAACGTGGGCGAGCCCTTCAAATACAAACAGGTAAGTTCAGAGCTGCCAATTAGGGCAAGGTGATACATCTTGGCAAATCCTTTAGAGGTGGATCATAACGCTTCAGGGGCTTCTTTGTACTTCTGTCAGGAAAAGTAGAACTCGGAAAGGTCTGGGCAGCAACCCTTAATGGTTGTTTACTTTAGGGCTTTTATTATGCATGACTATATGCTGTGTAAAGCTTTCTCTCTTACTCCTCAGCCGTTAGTTTGCAAATAACTTACTGATATGTATAAAGCTTGTTTTTTCTACTAATTACTGCTCCAAGACTGCCTGGCTTACAGAGAGAATCTGTTTATAAAATGAAACTTAAGAGATTAGGTAAAAGAGGTAACCTTCCCACAGTACCAGCCAAGAAAGCTGCAAATTATGGACTCAATTCTCTCCTGACTGAGGTTTAAAATGTTATGACAAAACCTGTAGTTTAGGCTAAAAATTACCCACTCACACCAAGGAGCAAAAATAATAAGACCATCCAAATCTAGTTTCCTGGAAAAGAAAATGCACCCCTTTATGATGTTATGTGACCATTCTTTCCCCAAAAGAGAAGGAATTTAAGGAACAAGAGCAGTATTTGAGTGTATTGCCCTGCAGTGCTGAAGCTTTAAAAAATCAGTCCCATTGTCCTGGCTGGAAGGAGTTGGCAGGTTTCACTTGTATCATGCAGAACTAAGAGTTTTGTACTAAATACAGGTATGGGTTTGGTTTGTTTTGGCATGGAATGAAAGAAAACGGAGAACAAAAAAGATGAAATAGGATGGGAGGTGGTAAAGCAGAACAGGGATTGTGGTGGACAGGAGCAGCTGAAGGTGTGGTACAAACACTGCAGATGTGCTCAGAGCAGTGAATGCCCACTGTCCTGCTCAGGGCTGTTAATTTTAACACACACATCACTCACTTTACATTGCTCTTAGTGCCAGAAATGAGAACACTCTTGTAATCCTAGATCTTTTTAGCTACCTTATGCATTTTTGGCATTTATTAAGTCAACATGATACAAAGAATTTGTATGAGAGAAAGGTGCACTGCATCATGCAGATTATAGTGATGTGAGAAATGAATTTTCTTTGGAAGCTTTTTATTTCTGCAAATGGCATCTCCTCCTGAAGTCAGGTATGTATAAAGTCCAGTATGTATAAAGTCCATACTTTTTAGTGTATGTAAATTACCAGTTTTTAAGACCAGCATATTTCTGCTGTTAAGAGGGGCATCTCAAACTCCTGCCTCTGACAGGTTACAGGAATGCTTTATAAATTCTTAGGAACTTGTCAAATGTTTAAAACAACCCGAGAGGGGAGCAAAAAGCAAAGTGTTGTTGTAATTATACTGGCCTAGGGCTATCAATAAAGCTGCACTCTATTTTAAACCATGTTGTAAATTTCAAAGAAATGCTTTAAAACATTGGAGTAAAAACCAACCAACCAAAACTAAACACAAATTCCCAAAACACAACCACCACAAACCACCCCAAAACAAACATAAAAACCCCAACAAATAACCCAAAGCTTTAAGAAAGGGGAGGATGTCTTAAAAATCTGAAGTGCCCTGAAGTTCTGGTTTTATTCATTAAAAAGCGAGTATTGCCTGCAGCTCGCTGCCGGTTCCCAGCGTTGCCCTGGCGCTGTAGCGCTGCGCCCCGAGCCCTGCGGCCCCGGGAGCTCCTCCTTTCCCCGGGAACCTTCCCTGCCCTTCCCCGAGCCCGGCCGGAGCTCCGGGCGCCGCTGGAAGCCGGGCGAGGGCCCCGAGGGCTTCCCCTGCAGCCCTGAGGCCACACGGGGCAGAGGCCTAAAAAACCGCGCTGCTTCTGGATAACAAGGCGTTTATTACAAACCACGCTTTCCAGTGAGGAATAAAGGTTGTTTATTAGCCCTCTTTGTTCCCGAAACGCTCCGGCGAGGCACCTCCGGCCACAGGAGCGGCGGCGCGGAGCCTCCCCCCGCGGCCCCTCACGGCGGGGCCGGGCTCACGTCAGCCGCCGCCGCAGCCTCTCCGCGGGCCCGTCCGTGCTGCATCATCCCGCCTCCCGCCCGCCCTGCCCGGCAGCGTGTGCGCCGCCAGCCGCCGCCCGAGCCTGTCCCCGCTCCGGGGCCGCCGGGACACCGGGAACAACCACCCGGGCGAGGCTGAAACAGCACCCGAGCGAACGAGCAGCCGGGACAGGGCGAACCCGCGCCCGGGCGAGGAGTGAACCCGCTACCGGGCGCGCCCCCCGCCCGCCTTCCCTCCTCCCTCCCTTCCTTCCCCTCCCTCCCCTCTTCCTTCCCCTCCCTCCCCGTCCCTTCCTCTCTCCGCCTGGTGCCGCCACCGCCGAGGAGGAGGAGGAGGAACATGGCGAAAGCGGAGCAGGTCCTCAGCCTCGAACCGCAGCACGAGCTCAAATTCAAAGGTACGCGGCGGCCGCCGCCATCCCTCGCCGCCGCTCCCCGCGCCGGCCGAGCGGCGCGGCCGCGCTCGGGGCCCGCTCCCCGGCAGCCATTTTCCGGGGGCCGGGCACCGCCGGCAGCTAAAATGTCCCGGCAGCGGGAACGCCGCGCTGTGCCCGGCTGACCTTCCCGGGGGCGGTGGCCGGGGAGTGCGGGGGACCCCGCGGGGCTGGGCTGCGCTCCCCAGGCCCCGGCGGGGGTGTGTGCGCGGCCCCGGCCGAAAGATCTGCTGCTGTAATGTAGGACAGCGATGTCCGTGAGGTAGGACTGGGAGCCCAGGTGCCACAAACCCTAGGAACGGATGGATAAAGGGCTTAATCAAAAGACAAAAATCAGGAAATTGCTAGCAGTGGAGCTGTTTAACTGTTCTGCGTGGGTCTTCTGTATAGAATCTAGAAGGAGGAAGGATGTTGGGAATAAGATAACGAATAAGGGTTTCTTCTGTAATGTGTCCCAGGCGCTGTGGGGTTGCAATCGTGTCTCTGGCCAAAAACGCGAGGCCTCTGGCCAGGTGCTGGGCAGCACTCCCTGGCTTTTCCTGCTTATTATTATTATTATAATTTAGCAAGCTGTTTGGCTAAGTAAGTCACGAATAGGCTGCCTGTGCAAAAATCCATCCTTTAAATAAAAGTCTTCAATGGGCTTGGGCTTCCACTGGCACTGAAATTCCTGCCTTGCAGCCTGACAGCACAGCTGTAATACAATATTCTGGGATTACAAATAAGCAATCAGCAAGTTTATTTATGCGACCAGAGTCAGAGGTGTTTTATGGCTTCACTTGATTATCTGGCAAATAAGCTTTTTTAAAAAAAAGGGGATCGTTTATTGGCCTCTGGCAAAAATAATACTCCTTTAAAAAAGCTTTCATGTACGTTTTTAAATATAGAGGAGGTCTTTACCTGTTTTTGTTAGTAAATATATTTGAACGATTATTAATACAAAGTGGGTTTTATCAAGTAGCCTGTTAATAAACACTGTGAGGAATGAATATATCTTTGTTGTAAGCTGAAGTTGTTATGGCAGCAGTATCAAACATGCTTAAGAAGGAAACTATTGTTGTTTTGACGTTCTTTGTGTTAAGTATGAATAGATTAAAATCACCTCTTGTTCTGGATAAAATTGCTTTTAGCAAACAAGCAAATCCAAGCTCAGGTGGGCAAAAAGTGGGGCCTTAATTGGCGCTGACTTGCTAATGAGATGAAATTGTGGTTCAGAGTTTGTTTTTCTTTCTTTTCTTCATCACAGGCAGATATAAACCTTGCCAGACTCTGGTTTTTCTTGAAGTAATGATAATTTGTCAGGCTGTCTGTCTTTCAGATGAGGTTTTGGGCTAAATAACCAGTAGCCATTGAAGTTAAATCAACTAACCATAGCGCTTTTGGTTGCCAGATCTTTAGCCAGCAACGTGTACTCCTTATAATATAAAATGCTACTTGACTAACTGCAGCTATTAAGTGGCTTAGTTTCAAAGTACACTTAAATATTAATGTTCAAACAGACTTAATGCTGCGGGCAGCATTCATATGCTTTGGCAATACATCTGCCTTACAGTCCTTTCTAGCAAGCAGTGCTGACCACTGTCCTTCATTCAGGAAACACCAGGTTGAAGTATTCATGAAGTAAAAATTCTGTTCTAAGCATTTCTTGCCCTACTGATCTTGTGATGACATACTGCCTGGTGATAGGGCTGAAATGATATTGTTACCTTTGTAAATAGTTGCATTTATTTCCAGAGTGTTCCTTGGCCCCGTACAAGTAGATCCAGGCTGACAGAGGTCATGGAGCTGCTGAGTGGTACAGGCATGCTTATGGTGTGTGCTGAAAGACATGGTGCTCAATGTAGGAAACAGAGATTGGGCTGTAAACCTAACACTGGAAATGGTGAAGGGCTCAATCCAAATGCAGACAGGTAGAAAAAGCAGAAAATTGTTCACTCTGATGCTGTTGAAAGGCTCTGTGTAGCTCTTCAGTATAAAATTTAGAAGGAGATAGGATGTCAGGAATAATATAGTGAATGAGGATGTCTTCTCTAATATGCCCCAATCACTTTGGGGTTGCAACCATGGCCTGCACTTTCACTTCTTAAGGGTTGAAAACCATTTTATAGAAGCTTTTGTATCCCCTTGGTTTTGCAGTGAATCTCATAAATTCATTTGGTGCTCTGTTTCAAAATACTGTGCTTGTATCTCGTTTGGAAAAAAAAAATCAAAGGAGTTTTTCATGCTGGAATTTTTTTTCACAGCATGTGAACATGAGCAGGGGTTGTCTTTCCTCCCGCCTCGCATCTCCTACAGCAGAGCACACATGCTCCAAAATAGCATCAGCGTGTGCTGTGCTGAAATGCAGCTGTGAGTGTGGGAGGCAGGACACCATTAGGTGCCTGAAGGTGCCCACTTCTTGCCCTGCTCTCTGAAATAGGAGCTTCACTGGCTTGCCAGTGGCTTTCTCCACTTCTTGGTCATCGTAGGCTTGCAAAAAAAATTATCCAGCTAAAGGTTTACAGCTCAGCATTTACTGGTAATAAATGGTGAAAAAGAACGTTGTTGTTGGTATACGTGACATTTACATTTATGTTTCCCTTTCTTTCTTTTTTTTTTCAATCTAAGAGATGACATTAATCTGCCAGGAATTTGTTACATTTGGGGCTCTGACTTTAAGGATTGCTAGATTTAAACCTGAAAAAGGATGTGGAATTGTGCTGCAGGATGCCTCCTGCACCTCACAGGAAGGCTGCCCACCGAGGCTGATCTGTCTTTTCACCATATGTGCCCACCAGGACTAGAGATCGGCTGTTTAATGTCAGCAAGTAAAATTTTGTTAAAATATAGCATATTTTAGGGCTCCCCTGGGTTTGTAGTGTTTGAGATGCTGCTGCGTGTTTGCAGACATGGGGTGCTGGGGCAGTGTTGCTCAGGAGGGGTGGCACAGATGGGAGGTGGCAGAGGCTGAGGGACATTTTGGTGGCGTTTCTGGAGGTTTGCTCCAGGTTAGGCTGGACTTATGACTCAGCAGTCTGTCCGTGCTCCCCAAGTGGCTCCCGGCAGTACTGCCAAGCAGGGATTAGTGCCTTGCTAAACTCTGCAAGTCGTGCCAGTTGGAAATGCAGGTTCTTGTCCCTGGACCTATGCAATATGTCACTGTGTAGCTTTGCTTTCTGCTAAGGGCACAACAATGAACCAGAAGAGCCGATCCTCTCTGCTGCTAACAGAGCAAATTCATCCCTGACCTGGGGCTGTCACCTCTCACAGGCTCAGGGACAAGCCCTGGCTACCTCAGAGCCCAAAGGTGTGGCCTCGGCCTGTGTCGGTGTCCTCACTCCAGCAGTGCATCTGCAGCACTGAAATGTTCAGAATTTAGTGTTGAGCCCCAGTGCTGTGCAGTTTGTGTTTCCGTGGTGGGGTGGCTGCTGCTCCCTGCTGAGACGCTCTGAGCTCCTCCAGGTCAGCCTGCGTGAGCTCCAGCCAGATCTGCTCATTGCAGTGGGGTGTGCAGAGCCTCCTGTGTCTGACAGGAATATCCCGTTCCTACCAGATACCAGGCTGAGCCTCTTCAGTCCAACAGGCCAGTAACATTTGGGATGTGAGATTAGTGTTTGCTGAAGCTGCAGTTGCCAAGTCTCAGAAGAGAGGTGAAGGGCATGTGGACTATTCACTTATGTCTCTGTCCCTGTCCTGATCCACTGGGAATGGTTAAATCACTCCTGCACTGAAGGTATTTGGGAGGAATTTGACTTTGTGCTCAATCTCTCCTGTATTGGATAAATAGGATTTTCTAGTCACAGGCTATGTTTAAGAATGTAAAATAGTGACATTATTGTGAGTAGTTGGCTGTTCAGGATAATTAACACGCATCTTTTAAGCTGAACATTTATATGCTCTTTCTTTAAACTCTTAGAGCCCTCCTGGTATTCTCTGCAGAATGGCAGCCAGTACTAGGATTTCTTTACTCTTTGAAGGCTGCTGTGCCAATGGCTGTCTGCTTTCCTGCTGAAAAATGTACCAGCCCTTGCTTCCCTTTGTCTGGCCTGATTCCAAGTCAAGTCATTGTTACTGCATTAAATATGGGTAAACCTATACATCTCTCTACATATTTGAGTTTAATTATCAAATCATAGAGGATTTAAATAACAGGCAGGCTTCCCAAATCTACACAAATTTATCCTAAAATATACCCCAATTATCAAAGAAAATCAGTCTTTTTCTGGTGTAGTTAATGTTGCACTCACTTTTCTTGCAGCTTAGCTAAAATCAATAACTTATTCTATTAAACATTTGTTTAGTTGTACAGGCCTGCTGCATCTCACTGAATTACTCTGATTTCACGTGCTCCATTGGTTTTATAATTAATTCATCACTTTGCATAGTCTCTTCACTTTAGAAGAGAGGTGTTAGGAGGGAAAAAACTGGAGGTAAGAGAGGGTAGTGATGCATTGTGAATTTCTTACAGCACAGCTCTTTTTTGAAAGGTGGAATAAGTTGAAGATTGTGCTTCTCTTGAGCTTCCTTAATCTGATGTCCTGTACACCAGAGACACAACACTCAACAGCTCCACTGGGAAAGGAGAAAGGAATTGTACTTGTGGCACTAACAGAAATATGAAACTTTGAATAGGATGATTGGAGCACCAAAGAACAATTGAGATGTGTGAAGCAGTCAAGGAGGTTTAACTGCATTTTCTGTTAAATTTAATTAATGTATTTAGGTCTCCCAAGACTATTTCCAAAAATACCACAATCTCCTTGAAGGCTTTGGTCAATGTGATTTACGGGTTAAGGATTTTTGAAGCATTTTGTACTGCACAGATTTTAAGAACTCCAGTTGAAGTTATGAGCATTAATAGGATCAAAGTATTACTATTTCAGGGAAAGACCTAATGCAGTGATAAAATTTGTTACTTGGCCATTGCTTCTCTTAGTTTTGTGGGATTTTGTGTTTTGAATGTGATCAACTCCTTGCCTTTGCTG